TGAATCAGTAAGCGGTAACATTACCTTTGGAGATGAATCCAAGATCCCAGTGAAAGGAAAAGGTAAAATCTTGATCCGCTTAAAAAATGGTACGCATCAGTTTATCTCAAATGTCTATTATGTGCCCAATATGAAGAATAACATTTTAAGTTTGGGACAACTCTTAGAGAAGGGCTATGATATTCATTTGAAGGATCATAGTCTTTCAATAAGAGATCAAAGAGAAAATTTGATTGCCAAAGTCCCTATGACAAGAAATAGAATGTTTGCGTTAAGCATTCAAAATGATGTCGCTAAATGCTTAAAAGCTTGTTTTAAAGATTTATCTTGGCTTTGGCACTTGAGATTTGGGCATCTTAATTTTGGAGGCTTAAAGTTGTTGAGTAAGAAGAAAATGGTGAAAGGTTTGCCTCCAATAAATCACGCGGATCAATTATGTGAAGGATGCTTACTTGGAAAGTATTCGAGAAAAAGTTTTCCAAAAGAAGCATCTACAAGAGCTAAGAAGCCGCTGGAACTTGTACACTCCGATGTTTGTGGGCCAATTAATTCAAGCTCTCTCGGTAAGAGCAATTATTTTGTTCTTTTTATTGATGATCTCAGTAGAAATACTTGGGTCTATTTTCTCAAACAAAAATTGGAAGTTTTTGAAACTTTTAAGAAGTTTAAAGCTCTTGTTGAAAAAGAAAGCGGATATAATATAAAAACCTTTAGATCGGATAGAGGAGGAGAGTTCACCTCCAAAAAGTTTGAGAAATATTGTAAGGAGAATGGAATTCGTCGTACATTGACGGTTCCATACTCTCCACAACAAAATGGAGTAGCCGAAAGAAAGAATAGATCCATTCTTAACATGGCCCGCTGCATGCTCAAAAGTAAGAGATTGCCCAAAGAACTTTGAGCTGAAGCTGTTAATTGCGCCGTGTATCTGTCTAACCGATCACCTTCTAGAAGTGTGTGGAATAAGACAACACAAGAAGCATGGAGTGGAAGAAAGCCCAGTATCTCTCACTTACGAGTATTTGGGAGCATTGCATATGCCCATGTACCAGATCAAAAACGGACCAAGTTAAATGACAAAAGTGAAAGGTATGTCTTCATCGGCTATGACTCTCGCTCTAAAGGCTACAAGTTGTATAATCCAAGCAATGAGAAGATCACCATAAGTAGAGATGTTGAGTTTGATGAAGAAGGAGCTTGGGATTGGGGTGTCCAAGAAGAAGACTATGACTTCTTACCATTCTTTTATGAAGAAGAACAAAAGAATGGAGAGCAGCAAGAGATTATCAGTCCACCTCTATCACCTACTCATGGAAATGCTTCTCCATCATCTTCACAAGGAGAAAGTTCAAGCGAAAGGACACCACGGATGAGGAGCCTACGAGAGCTATATGAGGTAACCGAAAATCAAAATGATCTCACACTTTTTTATCTTTTTGTCGATTGTGAACCAATAGGGTATGAAGAAGCGGTGCAAAATAAAAGATGGAGAGATGCCATGGATGAAGAGATTAAGGCTATAGAGAAAAATGACACGTGGGAGCTGACAACTCTTCCCAAAGGAAAGAAAGCAATTGGAGTTAAGTGGGTGTACAAGGTAAAGAAGAACGCTAAAGGAGACGTAGAAAGATACAAAGTAAGATTGGTTGCCAAAGGCTACAACCAACGTTCGAGAATTGATTATGAAGAGGTATTTGCTCCTGTTGCTCGTTTAGAAACCATAAGATTAATTATCTCTCTTGCAGCGCAACATAAGTGGAAGATATTCCAAATGGACGTGAAATCAGCTTTTCTAAATGGTTATCTCGAAGAAGAAATCTATGTGGAGCAACCAATGGGCTATAAAGTAAAAGGACA